CCCACACCCACACCCACACCCACACCCACACCCACACCCACACCCACACCCACACCCACACCCACACCCACACCCTTTTTTCACGAAAAGACCCAATAGTGCCAAAAGTTGGTATTGACCAACTTTTCATAGCAAGGGTATCAGAACCTAAAATTTTAGGGTTAGTAATTTTAGACATTGAGATGTTGAATGAACAAAAAAAATCTGAAAAAATTTTTTTATCAAGTGTCTCGTACACTGGAGCGATCCTCGATGATCTCATGGACTCTCTCTTAATGATGATAAAAAATTATCCAAAGAAGAGTTCCTTAACGGGTAAATTCTCTTTTGTAACACAGCTTTATCTTATCCTTTGCAGTTTTTACCTCGTTATTAGATGTAAGTCTGATCCATTTATCCGTCGATTATTTGATCCCAACAGCTAAATGTGGATTATATAATTTTTTAAGAACATATTTTATTGTCTACCCAATGAAATAATCTTCTTTTTAGTTTTTTATAAATTAAATACAAACAACATAGATAGTCTACTAACCCATTGTGAAACTGATAGGACGAGAAAAAATAAAAAGGTGTAGATCTGGGTGTGTGTTTGAGTATGGATGTCTTTCTTCTTCTCACACCCATACCTAAATATCCATCCAGATTCACACTTATGCCAAAGCAGAAAATAGACACTAGCAGTATAGCATTTTGTAAAGTGACATGCGCTGTGTGTGCTTTTTGACTTTCAGCATAACATCGACTTATGAAAACATGGAAACAATTACAGTATCACGCTGCTTATAGGTGCCATGGTGGCCGATATTTACCAATATTGAAACAATATTGATAGTTTGAGATGTTACCTTCTATCTTTTTGTGTCAAGAGCATAGAAAATTACTATTGAAGTTGTAATACTTATCAACAACGAATAGCTCATAAGTTTGGAGAATGACTTGTTTCTATTTTGATCTGCTCCCTATATTCCTTTTATTGGAAACTCCTTTCGAAAATATCTATGGTACTCTGGAACTTCACAACAGCTACCGTTGGATGAGCGACAGTGTTGTATTACGATTGCTTGTTGTACAATACATCTTACGATCCTAGGATTCGAGAAACTCATAGTCAATCTTCTGCTCAAGGTACCCGCTATTGTATACGTCTGACAGAAAAGACAAAGACTAACAGTAGAGAGAAGATCGAAGAACACGTTTTAGACGTGCATACATTCAAACAGTCGAAAGATGGTCATGTTAATACAAGTGTTCTCTTAATGCTATCAGTACCAATTGGTGTCATCGAGCGCTATTAAGAATATCTCGAGAAGTCAGAGACCCCTTTCTTGTCTGAGGAGCGTGTCTATGTCTGTAAACCATCTTCGTTTCGCTCTTACTGCCAACACACATTCGAGAATGGTAGTATTTCATTTGTTGACGTTGTGGTCATTGCATTACAAGGAAAAAATGCGCTGGCCTTATCACATTCTGATGCAGTTCTTGGGTTCACCAGTTCCTCGTGTTACGTATGTTTACCATGTGATCGAGGACCAGGTCAATTTGCGTGTGTAAACTGGCACGAAATATGCAACGGAAAGGCAGACTGTCTAGGCAGTGATGTAGATGAGATAGGATGTTCCAAATTGGAAATGAATGAATGTGCAGAAAATGAATATCGATGCCATAATGGACAATGTGTGCCCGAAGAAAATTTTATGCCGACGATCTCTACGATCTCAATTGTATGGACAGGTCGGATAAAACATTTTTCGGAACGAAAGAATCCTATGTTAGTGTGGTTTTCAATGATTGCTACAAAGATCCAACCTTTCGGTGTGAAGAATCAAAACATTCCTTTTTCCGAAGATATTCAAGATACGGCGATGGGCAACGGTCCTTTTTGCATTTTTCACTGCGTGATCGAAATGATCGGGGTGTAGGGTGTGGATGTGTTAAAAACTCAATAATAATCAGATTTAAAAGGAGAATACAACGCGTTTCGATCCTTGGTTAAGGAGTCATCATCAGATATCTTTAGAATCTAAAATTACAGAATTTATAAGCAAATAAATTAATTGATCAACTCCTTAGTATTCGAAAGATAATCAAGATCCAGTTTAGCAAAGAAGTTTTCATCTAAAATATTCAAAATCTAGAAGAAGAATACAGTCAATAAGTATGGTACTTTATTATAACATAATTTCAAAATTTTGTACGTTTTAGATTCTAGAGATACCTGATGATACTACCTTAAGCAAGAGTCGAAACGCGTCGTATTTTGCTTTGAATCTAATTATTGTTGAGTTTTTCATACACCGACACTCACCCACACCTTCTCATCACATCCACACCCGATAGTTTTCGAGCTAAGAAAGTCTCCAAGGGTGAGCAAGTTCATTTTGAATTTTATGCGTACTCGTCTTCTGTCAGTATCCAGCTTTTTCAAGCTTACTTTCGAAAAATTTCTGTCCGCACTTCATGTTAAAAAAGACATCAATAACACCATTTCTTGGAAAAGGAAGGAATGCATCTATAGCATCAGTGGAAAAAGTAATTAGTTAAGTTAAGAAAGTTTCTAACTAGAGTACTATTTTATTTTCCAATTTTTTTATATGTTCGAACAATGGTGGTGGATATTTATTTATAAAGAATTCAAAAATGTGCTCGTATAATTATATCATTCAATCTTTTGCAGCTACTTCTGTATGTAACGAATAAGAGAAAGGTTTACTAGAAGAGTTCTAATAGTTCTGTTCCATTCTTGACTGCATCTAAATCATCTTGTGTTTTACCACCAAGATAGTCAATATATTTCTCTAATTCATTTTGTCGTTTCAATACTCTTTCTTCAAATGTCTTTTTCCGTTCGTCAGCCAAAGCTTGTACTTTGTTTTGTGCTTCCTCTGTGTCTTTTAGCAGTTGCTTCACGGCTTGTTCTCGTTCCGTATCCGTTTGCATTCCAAGCATCTTTGCCAATCCACTCAGTTTGTCCATCATGAATTCATTTGAGATATCAACGTAGGTTCGAGACATTACATAGAGAATATAGGTTTGCCGATGGATGTCAACTGCTTGTCCTTTGAGTAAATCAATGTAGAATGTTCGTTCAGCTTCCGTTAGATCGCTAAGCGACGACAATTCTTTCACACGATCAGCAAAAGGTACCAGTGTTTCATTTGCAGCGATCTGACTGCGGATAGAGATTTCGGAGAAAAATTGAACTAAACGTCCCCACTGAACTCGAATGTTACCCAGTAACAGGATGGCTTCACGTAAAAGTTCGATAATCTGCTCAAAGGTGATTTTCGTCATATCAATTTGTGCAATTTTAACCATCAATGCCTTCATTTTATCCTGTTGTTCAAACATTTGTTGAAAAATTGCATCTTGACGTCGTTCAGCTTGTTGAAGGCGCTGTAGTGTGACGGTGACTTTGAATTTTTCATTATCATAATTGCCAGAATTTGACGAAGGCTGTTGTAGTTGTTGCATTGTGTCTGGTGCATCAACCTTAGTGGAGTCCATTGATTTGGCAGCTACAAATGGTTTCAATTTCCCAATCACACTCGTTAGCTGGCCTTTAATTTCCTCAACATTTTTCAAATTTGTTACATCTATGATTGATTGTAAGATATCGCCAATTGTTTTTGTAATTTCATTGCCACCTTTGACAGTTTTAAGCAAATTCTTCATTTGATTGAAACCAATTCTATAGAAATCAAAATCTTTTGTGAGAGCTTGTCTACTTGTGTTAACATTTTGTGTAACACTGTTCAACATTGTATTTGCCTGATCTAATAGCATGTTTGCAATTGATAGTGATTGGCTTGAAATAATTTTGTCATCTAAATTTGTTGCTGTTTGAAGTCCACCACCAACACTCCCACCGCCCCTACTGCCACCAATGTTACCAATGCCAGCACCGATAGATGCTCCAGCTGCTCCAGCTGCGCCAGCTGATCCTCCGACGGCTGCCCCTACGAGTATTGGTACAACATCATCAATCACATCAACAACGGCTTGTACGAAATTCTGTAGGATTTTATCCCATCCAGTTGGCAGATCTCCTAAAGCTTGTGTGTAAGCAGCCTGTGCGCTTCTAACAGCTTCCACTGCTTGGTCGTAGTGCTTTTTAACAGTTTGAATAATTTGTTCTTGATATTGTTGCGCTGCACGTGAAACATTGAGTTCCATTTCAACTTCTCTCAATCTTTGTAGGTGAAAACCTTGCGTTAGAGCTGTAACTTCAATAACTTCACCCAAGAGCTGCATAACATTTACAAATGCCTCGTGAGTGGCAGAGGCCAATTTAGAACATTCCTTTCCGATCATATCAATGCTTTTTAATGACGGTGTTAAGAGTCTTTCTAGAAGTCTTGGTGAAGATTTTACTAAAATCCGGAAGGATGTCTTCATATGTCCCGGAATTAGTGCCATGTACAGTTGAATCGTGTTCATTGAACTATGTGCCTTGAGGAATGCTTCCCAAGCATCGTTTGAAATTTGAATTAGAGTAGCACGATAGGATTCTGGATGACGAATGTATTTGAACTTGTAGTCACCTATACTTTCTTTCAAAGAGAAATCAATTTTGGTGGAGATAACAATGAGTTGACCCATAATATTGATAGCGATTGGCCCAGCTGAAACAAATTGCTGCCAGGGATAATCTATGCCAGTTTGAGTCAGGATTTGTTCATCAATTTCCTGTTGAAATAGGTTGATGACACCTGTTGTTTGATTTGCTGAAACGTATAACAAGGCATTAACAATTCTTTCAAGGATTTACAAGCATTTAGTTCTTACATGTCGTACGAGATTGCTTTCCATGCACTTCTACAGCAAAGAAATCGTAAAATGGATTGACTGCAGCATCAGGTGGGAGAAAGACTCGTTTCGATAGAAGATAAGGTTTCTGCATACCAGCGATGATCGTTTTAGGTGTAGAAGTATATACATCCAGGACGAACAAGGTAAGTACGAATATAAAACCTGAAGAATATGAAGAGATGAAAAACTAATTTTATTCATGATATTTATGATGACAATATAGAGAAACTCACCTTTGGCCAATAATAGATTCATTGTATTTTTTAACTATCTGAAAACAAAAAGAAGAGCATGATCAATCATAATCAATAATTCGTTATGAGTGTACTAGAAATATTTTCCTTATACAGTAGGCGATAAAAGTTGTGAGCGCATTCTAATAAAAATGTTTTAAAAGAGTAAGAAACAAAAAACCTGGAACGTCTCAAATAAATAATGTTCGTTTCGTTATATCTAATTATTTCTTTCCATGGCAGCTAAGACTCTCGACTAATATATTGAATGGCATTTTTGGTAAGACGTTGGCTACCTTGTTCAAACTCTGTTTTACCTCTGCTAAGGTAGCATTGCTGATAACATCGACAGAAGTGTTTCTTAGCAGATTGTCCCCTGCCAATTCATTGTAAATTGCATTTAATGGAACAAATAGTGATTCAAAGTTGATTAGATTTTTGATTGTAGTATAGAGAACTGAAGATGCATCCCAGATTTTTGTAATATGACAAACAATTCGTTTTAAATCATCATTGATTGTTGTTATTGAATTACGAACTTCTTGGAGCATTGTCGAAGCTGATTTTAATTCCTGTAATTGTGATTACAATTGGCTTAGATGTGTATCTAAACTGGTTTTCTGATTTTGCAACGATGATAGTTATTGACGAACAGCATTCACTTGTTGTTGTGCACTTTGAAGTTGTTATTGTGCATTGCAACGTGCTTCTTTTGCACTATCGATTCCACCCGAATTGAAAACACTACAAATTGATTTTTCAATTACTCTATGAACTATATCTTTCATCGGTTTGAAGATCGAATCCCAAGAAATGTGTTCTTCATCGTCTTCCACCTAAACAATTTCGTACATCCTCAACTTTTTGTTCTGCAATACGAAGAGCTTGCTCTGCATTGGCGAGTCCTTGTTGTTTGTCTCTCAGGCCTTACTCAGCAGTGACCAACTGAGACTTGATGCCTCTAATTTCTGCTATTTTTCGCTCAATTTCACGTCGCTTCCCTATGATTTCCTGTTCTTTCGCACGGACAGCAGCAATACTATCAACAACTTTTTTATCGGTCTCGACGCGAAGATTTTGACTGCCATTGACAGCTGTATCCAGAGCATCATAGTCATTTTGAACGCCACAAATAAAATTCGTGGCTAGCTGATTAATAGCTATTTCATCGTCTGCATTACTCTTGGTCAACAATGGATTTAGAACATTTTGTTGAAGAATCGTATAAGCTGTTTTGTAGGCTAGTACGATCGATTCCAACATTTTTTGTTCATACCAAGCCTTTGTATCATCACCAGAGGGAATCATAATACCACAGGAAAAAAGTAGCAGTGTCGCTAAGACGATTTTCATTGTATTGATTGGTACTGCCTGATTATTTCAAACTGATATTATAAACCAATTGGATGTGTTTCGGTGTCTACCATTTTATAGTATTCTAACTGAATGTATACAGTTTAATTAATATTCATGATATTCTTCTTTCTTTTTTCGATTTTCTTAACATAATACTTGTATGCAGTAAAAATCTCCATCTTTCCAACCATTCAAAGTAATCTGCATAATTAAGTGCATAGAAACAATCATAATTTTATTTTCTACCCGATTCTTGACTGATACTACTTTTTTTAATTAATTCCTTCTTTTCCTGGCAAACAGAACTTCAACCATTCGAAATGATATATTTATTTATGCAACTATGAATAACTAGTCTACCGTACTTCCGATGAATATCAATATTGGGAAAAACCGTTTTTTTTTATCGCAATTACTTAAGAGTATTTATCCTATGGTGTCTGTGTGGGTGGAGTTGCGGGTGTGTGAGTGTGGGTATTAGTGTGTGTGTGGGTCTGTGTCAAGGGGGAAACAGCTGATTATTTGATTAGATATGATTTTAAGTGATTAGCAGTGATTAGTCTTGATTAGTAGTGATTAGCCTTGATTAGGAGTGATT